ACAATTGCCACAAACAACATAAAATACATTGGGGTAACACTAACCAAACAAATGAAAGAAATGTACCACAAGAACTTTGAATCTTTAAAGAAAGAAATTAAAGAAGCCCTCAGAAAATGGAAAGATCTCCCATGCTCTTTGATAGGTAGGATCAATATAGTACAAATGGTAATCCTGCCAAAAGCAATCTACACATTCAATGCAATCCCCATTAAAATACCAGCACAGTCTTCACAGACCTTAAAAGAACAATAATCATTTTTTATGGAGATTCAAAAGACCCAGGATACCCAAAACAACCCTGTTGAACAAGAAAACGTCCAGAAGTATCACCATTCCTGACTTCAAGCTCTATTATACAGCTATAGTCCTGAAAACAGCTTGGTATTGTCACAAAAATAGACAGTTAGACCAATGGAATCGAATTGAAAACCCTGATATTAACCCACACATCTGAACATCTGACCTTTGACAAAGAAGGTAAAAACATACAATGGAAAAACAATTGCATCTTCAACAAATGGTGCTGGCATAACTGGATGCTGGCATGTAGGAGAATGCAGATCGGTCCATGGCTATTGCCATGCACAAAACTTAAGTGCAAATGGATCAAAGACCTCAACATAAATCCAGCCACACTGAACCACTTAGAAGAGAAAGTGGGTGGTACCCTTGAACTAATTGTTCAGCTTCCTGAACATAACACCAGTAGCACAGACAGTGAGATCAACAATTAATAAATGGGACCTCCTGAAACTGAGAAGCTTCTGTAAGGCAAAGGACACAGTCAGCAAGACAAAAAGGCAGCCCACAGAATGGGAAAAAATATTCACTAATGCCACATCTGACAGAAGGCTGATCTCCAAAATTTACAAAGAACTCAAGAAGCAAGTCTCCAAAACACCAAAGGATCCAATTAAAAAGTGGGTTGCAGAACTAAATAGAGAATTTTCAATAAAGGAGTCTAAAATGGCTGAGAGGCACTTGAGAAAGTGCTCAACATCCTTAGCCATCTGGGAAATGCAAATCAAAACAACTCTGAGATACCATCTCACTCCTGTCAGAATGGCTAAAATCAAAAACACCAATGACAATTTATGCTGGAGAGGATGTGATGAAAGGGGAACACTCCTCCACTGCTGGTGGAAGTGCCAACTTGTACAGCCACTTTGGAAAACATTATGGAGATTCCTCAGAAAAATGGGAATAAACCTACCACAAGACCCAGCAACTCCACTCTTAGGTATATATCCAAAAGTTTCCCATTCATACAACAAGAATGTCTGTTCCACTATGTTCATAGCAGCATTATTTGTAATAGCCAGAACTTGGAAAGCAACCCAGATGCCCCTCAACCGAAGAGTGGATAGAGAAAATGTGATACATTTACACAATGGAGTACTATTCAGCAGAAAAAAGCAATGGAATCCTGAAATTTGCAGGCAAATGGATGGCACTAGAAGAAACTATCCTGCGTCAAGTAACCTAGTCACAAAGACAAACATGGTATGTATTCTCTCATATATGGATTTTAGACATAGATCTGGGGAGTGCCAGCTTACAATCCCATGGCCGGAGCATCTGGGAAACAGAACCTTCATTCAGTGCCTGATGGAAGAAGAGGCAGACTCCCATTGCTACTAAGCACCGAGCTGAATTCAAGAAATCCAGTGACAGAGAGGGTGGACTGATGACCAAAGGCATTAAGACTAGGCTTGTCTAACTCCCAGAAACAGCTGACCTGACAAGGGTTACCTCTTGAGTCCCATACTGATGGCTGGGCACCTAGCATGTGACTGATCAAGACTCCCTGCATGTGGGTGTCAGTGTGGAGGCCTACGCAATCTATTGGGTCTTGGATAGTAGATCAGTATTTATCCCTGGCATACAAATAGACTTTGGGTGCCCATCCATCAATGAGAGATGCACTCTCACCCTAGACTCTTGGGGGAGGGTCTAGGCCCTGCCCTGGATGAAATAACAGACTATCGACACCCCCATGGAGGGCCTCACCCTCCTTGTAGAAATGAGGGTTTATTGGGGAGTTTGTAGGAGGACATGGGAGGAGGGGAGGGAAAGGGAGAAGGACCTGGGATTGAAGTGTGAAGCAACCTTATTTCTAATAATAAATATAAAAATAAAAATAAAAAAGAAAAGAAAACCAATGATAATAATCTCTACACATCCCCCCACCTCACTACACCCCACGCCCCCCTTTTCTTTTTGTCTTTTTGAGACTGGAATTTTCTGTGGCTTTGGAGGCTGTCCTGGAAGTAGCTCTTGTAGACCATGCTGGTCTTGAATTCCCATAAATCTGCCTGCCTCTGGCTCCCCAGTGCTGGGATTAAAGGCTTGTACCACCACTACCTAACTCTCACATCCTCTTTTTTTATAAAATAATTATTATTACCTTCATGATTACTCTAAGAGATGGGGATCAACTCACGGATTTACAGATGACACCCACACAGTTTGCCGCTGAGCTACACTGGGTCTTGTTTTTCCTCTCATTAATAAACCAGATTTTTTTGCAGAGAGTAACTGTCCGTGTGGTTCTCAGTCACAAATGGAACATCTACCTATATCATTCTCCAACAAAAAGGCTCAGGGACTATCATAGAAAAGTGAATCAGAAGCAGAGGTTGAGTAGGACTACAGTTTAACAAATGTCTTCTGCAATTAATATTACCACTACACTTAAGAACTCTCAGCTGCCGTGGTTGCCTGCAGGACATTAAGCAAGTCAACAGTTCATCATGGAAGTGAAAAGTGCTCACAGACCCCCCATTCACTTATGGCCAATACCGACACCTTACAGCCTCTTGGGGTAGGAAGACTAAGTTTTCTTTAGGGGGTAGCAGTGTCTTTTATGTTGAAAATGCTGTAGAGGATGGCCCCACACTCATGAGTATGTGTGCAGCACAACTTGGACTAAGAGGGTTATCTGAGTGGGGAGGGCAAAGAACAAGAAACTAGAAAGAATGGAATAGGGAGAGGTGTGGATCTGGGAGGAGTTAAAGAGAGGAGAAAGGGATAAATAGAATCAAAATACATTGTATGAAAGTGTCAAATTTTAAGGTTTAAAAAATCAACTTTTGAAGCTACAAAACTTGCTCAGTTATCAGAAGCATTGATTGCCCTGCTGGAGGACTACAGTGCACATTCCAGCACTCATACAAAGTGGTTAGTAATAGTCTATCATGCCAGTTTCAGGGGATCTGATACACTATTCTGACTTTCTTGGACACCTGTATTACACAACACACACACACACACACACAGTGACTTGAACCTATGACCTCAAGCTTTCAGGAAGCCAATGTGAAGTACTGACACAAATTTAATGTCAGAGTGGGCTATATATTAACTTCCAGAACAGCTAAGACTTCACAATCAGACCCTGTCTCTTAACCCAGGTCCCTTAACTCATCATCCCAGCAAAAACAGGAAAGTGCTGTTACAGATATTCCTGCAAACTTTAAGTACAAATGTATGCAGCAAAGGCATCCAATTTTATTCAGGCAATGAACATCTCCTCAGGGTATCAGTTAACATCTATAAGGTCTTTATACATGCAACTCACAATGCACTTACTTATAACAATATATAGTGTTGCTCAGGGAACTGCGTTATATTTCTAAACAGAACCGGCAGCCTTTTTGTTCACTGATTCATTATTCCCAGTACTTCACTGTTGAACTGTTGGTGACTTACTCAAACAAGTGTGGATTTTTCACATATGTTTCCTGTAGCTAAAGATTTATATTGCCACAAGAGAAATTCATAACATCTGGCCGTTTTGAAAATGATCCTTTCTTGATTTATTTAAGTATAATAAATGAATTTACATGACTACAATTCTGGATGTTGTAGTAATAGACTTTAAGACTAATGAATCTTGGAATATGAAAAATTTCCATCCTTCCCAACTTCACTGGAATGAATCTCTAATCTACTTTTTCCTTTCAGCTATTCTTCTAATTCATTACCTAATTGCCTAAGATATAAAAAGACATTTTGCTTAAATGAAGCAGCACCAGTAAAACAAATGAGGCTAAGCCTCGCCTGTGATATCCATCCCAGGGCTTAACCATTTATCCAAATAAGATTATCTCTAATGATCCTCTTGCATATTCCTGTTTAGTCTGCCAATGACATATTCCAGAAGGGTTTCATTAAGTTTGCCTTTGAATGAAAGCATGTTTCTGTTGTAAAAGTTTACCAAGTTTAAAGTCAGCTGGCAAATACCTTTTAAAAAATAAGTATTAAATATCACCTGAACTCCATCCCCTAAATTTCTCTGTGAATAATATTATGAAAAAATGTTTTGCATGGTTCAATAAAATAAGCATCATCTGCTTTACAAGGAGCAGAAAACATACTACAAGCACCATAGTTCAGTTGAGTCTTGTACCATGGCATCACTGGGAGGAGACAACATAGGGCCACACACCCCAGGTCTATTTCTTTCAGTTTAGTGAAAGGACTAGTTGAGAAGACGTGTGCAAAGGGAAGAAATTAGGATACTGGTGAAAGATGGAAGGAATAAAACTGACAGTGACTGAGTTGAACCTTGGAGATTGCTGCAGCTCTAGTGGTCCAGTAGGGTAGCCAGAGAGCAGAGATCCTCATTCCATCTCAGGAATGAAATTTTGTAAATACGCCAAATACACAGTGTAGATAATATGCAATGGTATGCTCTTGTGAGTAAGAAAGCCTGAAATAACCATCCAGTCAGACTATAGAAATCTCTAAGACACAAAACATCCTGTTAGAAAGCTAGTATGTTCAGGTAAGTCATCTGGGATTCCAGTGAAAACAGCTCCAAGTCTACAGGTAAACATGACTGATCGTTCTTCATATTGCTAAAATGTTACTACACAAAATGCACAGATCAACTCTGTGAAAATGCAAGACAAGGCTCCACTATCTCCTGTATGGATTATGATGTCATCAGGAAAGAATGTAAGAGCTAACATTCTGTCTCTTCCCTATTCCCTCTTCCCAACCCCCTCTCCTGTCTACTTCCCCATTCCCCTCTTCCCTCCCTTTTCCTCCCTCCCCACCCCTCTCTTGTACCCATTGTGATTCAAGGCTAAAACAGAGGTCCAAGACCTAGAGAAAAAATAAAGCAAACCCCATCCTGTTTGCCTCTTTCCCCTCTCCCACAAACTCTCCTGAAGCCGAGTGCGCAGATCTAGGATAATGAAGCTGTAGAATCAGCCCAGAGCAAGCAAGGTAGGGAAGCCAGGCCAGAGTTCACAGAAAAAGACAGGCTGATGGAGTGCAGGCAGCTAAGTTACTAAGATTGTCACCACTTGTAAGTCAAGACACATTTTGAAGTCAGAGGATAACTGCCTGTTTATATTTAGATGTGCTTCCTTCTTTAAGCAAATGTTTGTTTCATAAATATTTTTCTAATGATATGCAAAATTGGTCCACTTATGAATTGTGCTTTCCCCATTTTTCTTCAGTGGGACAGGTGCTGAGACACTTCTGAACGGACTGAGACAATGGCCGCTCAGGGAGAGCCTCCGGTCCAATTCAAGCTTGTCCTCGTGGGTGATGGTGGTACTGGGAAGACTACATTTGTAAAACGTCACTTGACTGGTGAGTTTGAAAAGAAGTATGTGGCCACCCTGGGTGTAGAGGTACATCCCCTGATGTTCCACACCAGCAGAGGGCCCATCAAGTTCAACGTCTGGGACACCGCTGGTCAGGAGAAGTTTGGGGGCCTGCGAGACGGCTATTACATTCAAGCCCAGAGTGCCATTATAATGTTTGATGTAACTTCAAGAGTCACTTACAAGAATGTGCCCAACTGGCATAGAGATCTGGTACGGGTGTGTGAAAACATCCCCATTGTGCTGTGTGGCAACAAAGTGGATGTCAAAGACAGGAAGGTGAAGGCGAAATCTATTGTCTTCCACCGCAAAAAGAACCTTCAGTATTACGACATTTCTGCTAAAAGCAACTACAACTTTGAGAAGCCTTTCCTCTGGCTCTCCAGAAGACTTATCGGAGACCCTAACTTGGAGTTTGTTGCCATGCCGGCTCTAGCCCCACCTGAGGTGGTCATGGATCCAGAGTTGGCAGTGCAATATGAACGTGACTTGGAGGTGGCACAGACCACTGCCCTCCCGGATGAGGAGGACGACCTGTAAGAAAGCGAAACTCTGAAGATATCAGCAGCCTAGATGTGCAGGCAACTGGCCTGTGATGTCAGCAGTGTGGCCTGTGTGTCACCTTGCTACCTAGTTAAGCAGACTCGTGCTCTGTGTCTGAGACGCTGAGGGAAAGGGTTCAGGGTGAATGTGGCAGTTACAAAACACACCTGCAGTTTGGGACTTGTAGACTTAGCTGTCTGTGGTGCAATTGTTTCTTCCCTGAAATTCAAAACTGAGTGTTCTGCATCACATCCCGGATTCTGTGGCAAAATCTCACTGTAATTTCGTTCCTTTCATTTAGAATAAAGTTGCATTTCAAACCCAAAAGATAATTTCAGAATATATATGTAAAAGAAAAATCTTTCAGAAAAAAGATGATTTTGTTTAGCAAAATACTTTTTAAGAAACATAGGTTTTAATTATTTCATCTGAAAATAATTATTTTCAGTGACCACATAAATACTATAGAGCAGCAATTATGCATTTGTGATACTTAACGGTTCTACATTAGCTGTGTGGTCTGATGCAGGTTAGCATACATTTTTGAAAGTCTAATGCAATATATAAAGCTATATGCAACACTGTGTGACCTGGCTGGCAGATCAGATACGTCAGAAGTTTCATATTTGATTTTTCCTTGGGTCTTTCTTGAGTATTGGGGCATAATGTATATGAAATATTAAGCACTGTAAATATCTATGTATACACACACATATATATATATATCACAGCCAATTAAAACATAAATCATGAGTCAAAAGTCTTATTAGAGAATATGTCAATCTATTCACAATATAATAGGAGAATGAGTTCCTCATGGGGCTTAAGTAAAGGCTTCTTTGGCCTGCACCTGTCTTCCTGTCTGACACAGCCATCCTCGCATGCTCTGCCTAGGCTTGGTACTCTTTCTGGCTCATACCTTGCCATGCAAACTGGCACATTTTGTGTAAAAAGCAGAGATCAAACATCCTATTTAAAATTTTTTTAGGCCAAGAGCTTCAGGAATGCTAAAGAGCGAACATAAAATAATAAAAGCATAGTTATGCTGCCTAAAAATTATTAATTGTATAGAGAAATAATGCATTCAGTTTAGAAACATTAATCATATACTTATGAAAACAAAAGAAATAATGTATTTAAAATGAAAATACCCTAATCAGTAGGAGCTAATGTCATCAAGGATGGAAGGATGGAAAACATAACTCTTTGGTGGGATTCCTTTCCAGATTAATTTCCATGAAGTCAGTCAAACCCAAATGACAGCCACTGTATAGAATGTCAAGCAGGTACACTTTAAATGCATCAATGTCATCAAAGAGAGGCATAGGAAAACAAGTTTCAGAATGTATGAGACTAACTATATAAGCACAACCCCAGAATGCCTGGCGTGAAGTGAGGCTTGCTTTCAATGTGGATGATAATACAGACAACTATAAATATTGAAATATATTTCAATGTGAATTCCCTTGCATTAATAACCATGCTGTAGTTCTATAAGAAATATTTTAGGAACTGGGCACTAATAATTTTGTAGTATATAGAGACAACAACTCCTCCAAAAACAGTGAAGTGAATGGTATTAGAAAAATAAAAAATTTCACCTCCTAACCACTGGAGTATCTACATGAAATAGATATGGGGGTCCTTTGTGGTAATATTGAAGCATTCAAGAAATTATATATAGATCAAAGGGGTATGCCACAAAGAGTTAACTATATAAGGAATAGAGAATTTTAAAAAGACAATACAAATAGCAATAAAAATCCAATCAGTAGTACAGAGTTACAATGCCCTATGGTCAAATGTAAATGGATAATATGCATAATAAAGCAGTTAGACACATATAACACAGCAAAGAAGGACTCAGACACTTCTGGTTTAAGGAATGAAGAAACTGACCAAAGCAACAGATCCTTCTTGCCTCCAATATGGAGGTCTCTATATTAGAACACAAGATTTCAAAGGGGAGGTGAGTACTAGCCCAGATGCAAGCATTTACTCTTCCTTTTGTTCATGATGCTGGGTACAGTCACTGCATGACATCATTTGCCTGTAGCACCTGACTCAACATGCCTCATGACTTTCATATTAACCCCTCCCAATAGAACCCCTTTCTTTTCAAGGAAGTTGGATAAGTGTTGGCATTTACTATTTGTTAATACTCACACCAGTCTATAAGACAGACATTTATGATTTTTAATAAATTGACAAGCACACAAGAGAATCATACCTACCTCTCCAGATTCAGTAATGAGCAGAAAGATATTGGATCCAGAACTTCCTTTTTAAAATATTTTTATTCTTTTTTATTTTTGAAATAAAAAGAAATTTATAAAAATTATTCACATGTTACTCCCAGCTCTCTCTCCCTCCTCAACTCCCTCATCCCAAACAAGCCCCCCAACCCCCCATCCCATGCCCTCTCCGCTCCCCAGAGAGGGTAAGGCTTTCCATGGGGGATTTTCAAAGTCTGTCATATCATGCTGGGCAGGGCCTGAGCCCTCCCCCATGTGTCCAGGCTGAGAAAGCATCCCTCCATGTGGAATGGGCTCTCAAAATTCATTTGTGTGCCAGGGATAAATACTGATCTACTATCCGAGGTCCGATAGATTGTTGAGGCCTCCTCACTGACACCCACATTCAGGAGGTCTGGATCAGTCCCATGCTGGCCTCTCAGTCACCAGTCTGGGGTACATCAGATCCCCCTTGTTCATGTCATCTGACTCTGTGAGTTTCACCAGCTGGTCTTGACTCCTTTGCTCCTCATTCCTCTTTGCAACTGGGTTCCAGGAGTTCAGTTCAGTGTTTAGCTATGAGTGTCTGCCTCTGCTTCCATCAGCCATCAGATGAGGGCTCTAGGACAGCATATAAGGTAATCATCAATCTCATTATCAGGGGAGGGCATTTAAGGTAGCCTCGATGCCAGCTGATGTCATTCTTGTAGATCTCTGAAAATCTCACTAGTGTCAGATCTTTCTCAAACCTATAATGGTTCCTTCTATTATGGTATCTCTCATCCTGCTCTCCACTATTCTTCCCCTGACTCAACCTTCCTGCCCCCCATTTCCTCCTCTTCCCTCCTCTTTTCCCCCTCTCTTTCTCCCATGCTCCCAATCCCCTTAGGAGATCCTATCCCATTCCCCTTCATCAGGCCAGCATGCAAACCATGCATTCCGTGCTATTTATTTTAATCCCAATTAGATAGAGTCTGATTTTACCCAGTTATGGTGTTTTCTCTAATTTTCATCATTAAGAGTGAAAAGCTTGATTTTGAGGTCTCTTGTTACTTTGAAATCAGATAATAAACAACATCTCTCCTTCCTAAGTACTTATATTATTTTGAGAATGTAAAACATGACAATTCAATCTAAAAGGAAGTGCTTCACTTCCTTTCTGCTCAATTCTTGTTTTATAGTGCTCTATATCTATCATCTATTCATCTATCTCTATATATATATACCTATCTATCTCATCCATCCATCCATCCATCCATCCATCCATCTATCTCTTTGTGCCTGTGTGTTTCTTTGTGTTTGAATGGGTATGTGAATTTTTTATCAGTTGTTTTGGTGGGTTTTGGAAGTTCCTTAAATGTGTAAGCTCTGAAATGATTCAAATCAATTCATGTTTCATTCACTGGGGCAAGACTTGATACAGTTAATCACCTTCCTTAATGCCTTGATGTATCAATTTGCTATTGAAAATGTAGGCCAAGTTACCAACTGGGAAAAACAGCTAGATATAATATTGCATATAACAAACTTGGCACTATGCAAAATAGTAATAATGGTATGCTAAATGGCAGTATAACCTAACCATACCATGTTTGTTTCTCTGTTAATGAGGATTTGAGTGAATTAGTTGTCATCAAATGAACACAATATTTTACTCTATCGCCTTTGACACAGAGGCTCCCACAGTATCACATTCAATCTCGTTAAAATCCTTTCAATCCCCTTTCCCTTCTCTCCTTAGATCTTCCTATCTCTGAAGCTCATCTTTTCTACTAGTTTCTCTAGATCAAGAATCGTATCTGTACTCCCTTTGTCCACTGCAAACATGACTATGAATAAAAACAGTTAATAATAAATTATTCCCAGGTGACCTCATTCTAGCAGGGACTTCTATCTGAACTGTCTTTTCACTTATTTCTATCTATCTCTAGTTTATTCATCACCTCTCAACTAACAGACCATTTTAAGATGTGTGTTCCATTTGTACAAACATCTTAACAATCCTTTTGTAACTCTCCATTGACAGTCATAGAATTAAAATCTTTTCAACAAAATTTTAATCACATTGCTTTCCTGACAACATTTTTAGTTGTATTTTGAGTTTCGATTATTGAATTATACATTTCAGCTTCATTCTAGTCTTAAAATATTATTCTAAGACCCGGTTCTTCTCTATTGGATTCTACTCAGTCAAGCTTCCATAAATATTTTATTTGATAGTATAATTCCCATTTACTTCATTCCTTCCTTCGTTGGGCTCTGTATCCTCTTCTGCATTCATCCACATCACCCTCCACTTGCCTTTGCATTTCACCTATCACAATTTAAAGATAAGCTCAATGTCTGTCTCCTTCTTCAATCTACAAGTTTGGAGAGTAAATTCTAAGTCTGTCTTATATATCATGGTATTTCTTAAGTCCAACAACATTTATTGGTAGTTAATGGAAATATAGTGAATGAGCCTATGGATGAATCTACAGACAAGTAGTCAAAACCAGCCCACTGAGATTGAAGACAGCTTTCTCCCCACATTCCAGCAGCTTTGTCAGAGGATCCTCAGACTGAATGTGTCACTTCCTTAGAGAGAGTGAGAGAACACATTATGATGAGAGTGGGAACTTCAACCTTCCACTACAGATGAAATGTTTTTTTGTGTGTGTGTGTTGTACTTTTTGTTAGAATTCATGGATCCCTCAGTCTTTGTTTTGTCCTGGAATTCCTGCCACAGTTCATGATTGGTGTGGAGTCACCTTGAAATTCACTATCTCTTGAAAATACAGTTTCCATCCTGAATACATTTTATTTTAAGATCAGGGCTTACCTTGCCACATTCTTGGGGCATTTTATTAGATACGCTATCCATGTTGTGTACTCCTCTTTGTGTATGGGATTATTCTTGGTAGCTTCACATCGCAAGGTATGGCGTAACACCATAAGCAGAACAATAGCAGGAAAGAAAAGACAAATGGCAGCAAAACAGTCAGAAGGGATTGTGCTGCTGCTGATATATTTAGAATATCCATGGAATATGCCTACATATTAAAATACTATAGGTAACTAATTTAATTACTTTTTTTTGTTCCTTCAATTTAT